GGATATTTTACCTCCCGAATGAACCCTATTTTGAGAAGTTTGGTTACCTCGTCCTTTATGAAGGCATTCTTTCTATCGGAGTGTGGTCTTCTTTTTTGCTTCACCGGTCTGAACCTATGGTCCAAACTTAGCTGATGCGTCGTTATGTCCGGCGGGATCCCTATTATATCTAAATGGGACCAGGCAAAACAATCGATGTTATTGATAAGAAATTGAACGAGTCTCTTCCTGAGTTCAGGGCTCACCCCCGTTCCCAAGTATACCTTTTGCTCGGGCCGGCGCTCGATCAATATGACTTGCTCTAGCTCCTCGATCGTCGATTTTATAGCATCGGAGTCATCGAGAATTACGAAAGATCGAGGGAACCTTTGGTCTCCATCCTCTTCGATTTTCTGGTTGTCTGGCTGGGTTGAAGTCGCTGTCTGTGATTGCTATTTGGTGTCCCGTTCTCCTTCCGGGCCCGATCCTTTTATCGGCGAAAGTGAGGACATTGGTTTAGCTTCGTCGATGGCGAACATTTTTTTTGCGGCTGGTTGCTCTCCGTACACCGTTTTGACATCTCCCGACGTCAGAGATTTGAGGACCTGGTGTAGGGTCGAAGGCACGGCTCTCATGTTATGGATCCATGGCCTTCCAAAAAGGGCGTTATACCTCATATCGCCTTCGATCACGTGAAACTTTATTTCCTGGACAGTTCTAGCCACGTTTATTGGTAAGGCTATCTCCCCTTTGGTGGTTTCGCATGCCATATTGAACCCGTTTAGGACCAGAGTTGCAGGTACGATCTGATCCTGCAAGTCGAGCTGCTCCACTACCTTCAATCGGATAATATTGGCCGAGCTACTTGAATCGATCAACACACACTTAATTTTAGTTTTATTTACGAGTACGGATATTACCAGTGCGTCGTTGTGAGGTTGGATGACCCCCTCTGCATCTTCATCTCCAAAGGAGAAAATCCACATGGGTGCGTAATCTTGAGTTCGAGACCACTTTTCCCTCACCATCGATGTTTTAGTGCGTTTAAGCATCAGTCCCCGGGGGGTATCGGTGCCACCGATGATCATGTGGATAATGTGCTGTGGTTCTTCTTGCTCGTTCTGCTTGCTGAAATCCCTACGTCTAAAATGGCTCTTTGCCCTATCACTCAGAAACTCCCGAAGATGCCCTTTGTTAAATAGGCGAGCTATTTCCTCTCTTAGTTGCTTGCAATCTTCCGTTCTGTGGCCATGGGTACCCTGATATTCGCACATTTGATTGGGATTTCTTCGGGCAGGATTGGTCTGCTTTGGTCGAGGCCATTTAGTGTCTTCGATGCGTCTGATGGCCGACACGTGATAGGATGCACCAACGCTGAAGTTATATTCTGATAATCGAGGTGCTTCTATAGGCTCGGCATATTTGTCGAAGCCGCTCTTACTCATAAGCCCCCGAGAATTTTGTCCCCGATCAATTCTTTGACTATTCCGAACTGTGTTGCGTGTTGAACCATTGTTTACTCGATCAGTGACGTACGGTCGATATCGGTCTCTGTTCGACCTTTGCTCTCTGTCGATCTGCTTTTGATTAATAACTGTCCTGTTATGATGAACAGGTCCGTACGGGGTCCCCAACTGATCATCCTCGACCCTAATTTTTGATTGATATCGGTTGTGCACATCTGCCCAAGTTACCTCTGGATACTCGATCAAATTTTGTTTCAGCCGATGTGATGCTGTCGAACTTAGCTCGTTCAACTCTTGGGTGAAAGCTTGTACGGCCCAGTCGTCGGTGACGGGGGGTAATTGAATACGTTCCATTTGAAAACGGGATATGAATTCCCTCAGCATTTCTCCCTGCCTTTGCTTTACTTTGAAGAGGTCTGATTTTCTCGTTGCAACCTTTATGGCACCAGCATGCGCTTTTACGAACGAATCTGCTAACATGGCAAAAGAATCGATGGAATTTGGTGGTAAATTGTGGTACCAAATCATAGCTCCTTTCGAGAGGGTCTCCCCGAACTTCTTCAATAGCACAGATTCGATCTCATCATCTTCTAAATCGTTGACTTTTATGGAACATGTGTAAGAGATGAGATGTTCGTTAGGATCGGCCGTACCGTTATATTTGGGAATTTTGGGCATATAGAATTTTTTAGGGATTGGCTCGGAGCCACACTCGATGGAAAAGGCTTTTGTATAAATTTTTTGAATCAAGCCTTTTTATCATTGGTGGAGCCCCCGGGATTTGATCGACCCTGGCATTATACGTTTCCACCCTCTTGTCGTTGTCTTCGACTCGTTTTGTGAGTTCCTCGAGCAATTTAGTAATTCCGGGAGTAGTCTCCGATTCCTGCTCGTTAGATTTTACTATGACAGGCTCTGTTCTGGGGGTGACCTTTCGAAGTGGATTGGAAACCGGCCTGCTTTGTGCGCGAGTTTGGCTCTGTAGCTGAGCTATCGCTAATTGCTGGGATTGCAACATCTCGAAGATCATGCGTAAGCTGGCCCCGATCTCCTCTGGGTTTTGGGTGTCTTGGGCTACGGATCGAGCACCGCCCTGAATGCTTCTTTCCGGTTCGGAACGCTAGTTCACTTCCAAAGCAATTTGTGAATTGACATCGAGTGGTATTTTGGCTCGAATCTCGGGTAGTGCCAAGTTGTTGTTTTCATCTTAAAGGCTAGCTTCATAATCGGTTGGTGAAACCATTCGGTCGGTGGCTTATTCGTAGCCGAACCTGAATTGAAGGTGTTTTCGGAAATAAGTGACCACTGTTATCCTCGGCCCCACGGTGGGCGCCAAACTGTTTACCCGAAAAATGGATAGAGTTGAATTTATATGCAGTTCCGAAGATATGTGGTACAACTTAATACAAAATGCAAGGATAAATAAAAGTGTGAATATAGATTGGAGAAAACGTAATCTAGACAAGGCAATCACGAATAGTGAATTTTATGATTTAACAAAATAGAATCAATCTAAGAAATTAGAATGATCACTCTTTCTTGTAGAGGAAATAATACAGTTTTTTATAGTGTAAATCTCAGAAAAAGGTCTCCCTACAGAAATGATAACCAAGTCCTTTTATAGTGGAGGGATTTGGCTCCAAGCAAAATAAAATAAACACCCAGTGGGAGACCCATGATAAATCAGCTTTTCCATAATTTCTGCCAAGATTCCCTCTAGTGGGATTACAACGGCTTTTGTCTGCGAGCTCGATCTTGCTTAGAATCCTCGATTTTGGTTCGAGCTTGATTTCGGCTCGAACTTGTGACCTTGGTTCGAGCCCGACCCTGGTTTGAGTCCTTGAATTGNGATTTAACAAAATAGAATCAATCTAAGAAACTAGAATGATCACTCTTTCTTGTAGAGAAAATAATATTTTTGTTATAATGTAAATCTCAGAAAAAAAATGTGCCTGCAAAAAATGATAAACAAGCCCTTTTATAGTGGAGGGATTTGGCTCCAAGCATAATAAAATAAACATCCAGTGGGAGACCCATGATAAATCAGCTTTTCCATAATTTCTGCCAAGATTCCCTCTAGTGGGATTACAACGGCTTTTGTCTGCGAGCTCGATCTTGCTTAGAATCCTCGATTTTGGTTCGAGCTTGATTTCGGCTCGAACTTGTGACCTTGGTTCGAGCCCGACCCTGGTTTGAGTCCTTGAATTGATTCCAGGTCGATGTAGGTTGGTTTTTGGATTATCAACACGATAGATCTACCCGTGTCACGGTTCGATTCTTGTTCGAGTTCGATTATGATATCGATCTCATCACGGACCGGCCTCCCCGGGTTCTAGGTTAGTTCGTGCCCCCCCTTCGGGATCTTACTTCGATACACCACCCTTCGAACCGTACCGGACATGCCAAGACTGAAATCTATTTCGACCGTGTACAGGATAATACCAAACAAAAGTGGTACTGTCTTCATCCTCAATTGTTTAGTCGAGAGTCTGGATCACAAATCAAAATGCTATTTAATACTATTGAAGTTGAGGACAAACAAAGGAATAATAGAATTTTCAGATTGACATTAAGGGAATCGAAATTTACAGCTCACTCAAGCTTAATCTAGATAGAACAAGAATAAAATAGAAAATGATAAAGCTTTTGGGTTTTAATCTTGTTAATTTTACAATCAGCATTCTTATTGAATTATCTTTTGATCTAGTTAGATCTCGACAAATTACAAATTAATTATGGCCTCAAAGGTAGTCATTGCAAATCTCTCTCTCTCTCTCTATACACGTCAGTATTTCTCTTCTTCATCTTATGCCATGCTTTAATGCTGTACCTTGACTCGTGGTTCTCTAATAATATTGTTTTCCCTCATCAGTCATCACCTCCTCATGGTCGGAAAAAACATGCGAGTTACTCCATCTCTGTTAATTCTTATTTAATACCACTGCTATTTCTTCTATATGGAATAGAAGATCTCGTACTTGCAAATTCAAGTTAACAGCAGAAATACTAACATATCTGCATCCCGTTCACAATATCCACCATCTGAACTTAGAACCTAGAAATCCCGAATCTTCAAGTCCAGAATTCACTACAAAGAAAACCGGAATTCCGACGGATGAAAATCATAGGATAGAATATATTAGTACGAATTTAATCGGTAGACAATATTGTCATAGCTAAGGATTTGGGGACGAATTGATTTCTTAATTAGCGCAGAAAAAATTCCATTGCTTATAACGAGCGAAACCCTTATTATGTAAAAATATAGTACTCCGTATATATCTTAGTGTATAGCAACACGCAATAATATGCAGGTCACTGTATTGAGGGGGTTTATGTGAGGCATGTCACAATTAAGCATCTTAATGCGGTTGAACTTATTCTGCTCAATTTGTGAATCTTAATTTTAAAACAAGTAGTCTGTGAGGATAATTAGTCCACAAACCAAATTGTACTATGGAAGGAAAAACAAATATCACAAAATTTGGATTGGAGAATTTCGATATTAGATAAAAAAAATTCACATTGTGAGATTAACATCCTAAAAATTAGGAAACACCAATAAAAAATTTCCCACCTAATAAATACCAACCAAAAAAAAAAATCTATCCACCAAAAGCATGAAACAAATTTCCATATAATACTTGCCCGGCCTTACAAATGACAAGGATAAATGCCCATTTGCGGGTCCCAACCAATGATTAACTAAATAGCATCATGTTTGACTAATCCATTAATTAAATAAATACAGAATGTGATTATGTGAACGTGCGTCCCTTCACTGCCCACCAAATGTAAACTCTTTCGATAGTCTTGAATTGTTCTCTTCCAAATTTTTTTCTTTAAAAAACTAACCATTTGAAGTAATATAAATTTAGTAGAGAACTTATATATATATATAACAAAGCAACAAATCACAAAGACGTGGTAATTACCTGCAAAAGACAATGGCATTGTCTAAGCCAAAATCCTTTACGTTTGCTCTCATATTTCTCTCCCTTTTCCTCCTCTACCTAACTCTAACTTGCAGACTAAGACCAAAACGTCGTGAACTTCCAATCTCCCTCCTAGAAAAAACAACTTCTTTTAGACAAAATAATTTGCCCATGCAACATGTCACCAGACTACCTCAATGGTTTAGACTTTTGCAAGACGAAATCAAGGACAAAACACTAAAAATCGGCCTCGTCAACTTTAACGATGTCTCGTTTTTCGACTACGTCGGATTGCATGGGGCAGAAAATATGGAGACATTCGACGTGAAATTTCCTAGAGTTTCGGATAAAATAAAGTGGAAAGACTTGTTCCCAGAATGGATTGATGAAGACGAGGTTTCGACTAAGCCTAAATGCCCAGAAATCCCAATGCCGGTTTTCGAGGAGTACGAGCAACTGGATGTGGTGGTTGCAAAGGTTCCATGTAAAAGAAGGGTTGGTTCTAGGGATGTTTTTAGGCTTCAAGTTAACTTGGTGGTGGCTAGCTTGTTGGTAAGGATCAGCGGTGGCCGCTGGAATAATAATAAACGGCCGCTGTATGCGGTGTTTATCGGCGATTGTGGGCCGATGTGGGAGATTTTCCGATGTGAAGACGTGTTATTGCATGAAGAGAATTTGTGGGTTTATAAGCCTGAGCTGAAAAGGCTGAAGCAAAAAGTTCTTATGCCTGTTGGTAGTTGTCAGCTTGCTCGTCCATTTCCAGAACAAGGTAAACTTTTTTTCTTCTTCTAATGTTTTGGAATTCCAACTTCATTTTATTCTTTGTTGGGTGTAATTCTTATTTCATAATTTCGTTTATAAAAAGTAAAAGAGGGAATATGAGAAAAATGCCACAATCAAACTTTGCCTACACGATACAACAAGAAAATTTTGCTAGAAAAACCATTTACATAAGTTTGAAATTAAATGTACCTACCAACGCCTTTTCTTACTTGACACATTTTTGAAAACCCAATTACTAACCAAGAAAAGTAAAGATGGTTATACCCAACACGAAAAGAAATATTTGTATGTAAATACTATTTGAGAAGCTTCTATTTTAAATTCTTAATCTACATGTTACGTACATAATATGGATATGAAAATTTGATGTGAGGCCTAAATTTTTAAAAGAAAGTTATGATATATATTTTTATTTGAAGTCTATTTTCCTATCTATTCGAAATGCAGAGTTGTTAATAATTATTTTTATAATTAATTTTTTCTAATAATTCCTTTTCAATTGATAATATAGTCAACTTATTTAATTTATCTTGAGACATTGCTAATCTTAAGTAAGATTTTATCAATTATAATCTTAAAAACTTATTTGGCAATTATTATAGAAAAATTACTTTTGTACAAAAAGTACTAAAGGAGTATTATTTTTTTAAATAGTTATAAACCTATTATTTCTAAAGAATAAGGCCCCTGGGACTAAGACACCAGCCTTACTTGGAATAACAGAGCCGCCGCTGCCACGTATGGTATTTACATAATTCATAGTGTTCAATTATATTGCAGTAGTTGATAGTGGGACCTACCAATAGAAAGAGGAATGAGGAAGTATTACGTTTTTGACGTTCTCCTTGGTATCTCCAACAAATATATTCAGTTAGTTTAACAAATCGAAATAATGTGCAGGGCAAGAAATTTGGAGTAAGTATGCGGCATCAGCATTTGACAAAACAATTTACAAGCCAAGAGAGGCTTATGTGACAGTTCTCCATTCCTCAGAAGCTTATGTTTGTGGAGCAATAGCTTTGGCACAAAGCATCATTCAAACTAATTCTACTAGAGACCTTGTCCTCTTAGCAGATGACTCAATTTCGTCAAAATCCCTTCTTGGCCTTAGATCAGCAGGCTGGAAAATCAAGAAAATCAAAAGAATAAGAAGTCCACATGCTGAGAAAAATGCATATAACGAATGGAATTACAGCAAGCTCAGAATATGGCAACTCAGTGAATACGATAAAGTCATATTCATCGATTCAGATTTCGTAGTTTTTAGGAACATCGATCAATTTTTCTCGTATCCAGAACTATCAGCTGCTGGAAATGATGGTTACATTTTCAATTCGGGTGTTATGATCATAGAACCATCAAAATGCAAGTTCCATAATTTAATGAACAAAAGGTTTGAAGTAGGTTCATATAATGGGGGTGATCAAGGCTTTTTAAATGAAATATTTGTGTGGTGGCATAGGTGGCCTAGTAAATTAAATACTCTCAAGATTTTTGGCAATTCGAGTCATCGCGACCTTCGCGATGATTCGTATGCTGTACATTATTTGGGACTAAAGCCATGGATGTGTTACGAAGACTATGATTGTAATTGGGATAGGGTGGAATCTCAAATTTTTGCGAGTGATTCAGCACATGAGAGGTGGTGGAAAGTGTACAAGAAAATGCCTATGGAGCTTAGGCAATATTGTGCATTGACCCCAGAAATGGATGCAAGGATAATAAAGTGGAGGGGAAGAGCCAAGAAAGCTAAATTTTCAAATGGGCATTGGAGGATTCAAGTGAAAGATCCAAGAAGAATTTCCTATTAATTTATTATTTGATAATTAGTCTAACAAGAGATTCAAATCATGTATACTAACTATTTCCCTTTCAGTATTTTGCAATATGTTATATTTCTAGCATGGTAGGATCTCCATTTGGTTACAATATTTCTATTGCATTCTCTCTTTCAGTTAGCTTAATGTATATATGTACTCATAAGGGTAGATCTCTGTGTGATTTTTGCAAATGCAAATTCTGGTGCTTCTTTCCTTGTTAGATTCAATGATGTGTGTATTTCGTTATCTCTGTTCTTATTTTCTTGTCCGAAGTACACTGGGAAATGACTTTCATGTTTATAGCACATGTGTTTCTCCAAATGTTTACTAATCTTCGAAAATTTAAAAATAAAGAATTAACCTTTATAGCCACCTAAAATAGCCGATGGATGTATAAATATATTTTGATCCATGTATAATATGTGTATAACCATGTATAACAATGCATAATTTATGTATACGGCTAAAATATAAACAATGAATCCGACATGCTATTTGTGTAAAGAGCCCCAAGTTTTTTTAGTGGTTTCGAAAATTTTCAAAATGCATCTTCAAGTGCAAATTGGAAATTTTATAAACAAACGCTGATTTCGAAAAAAAGTGAAAATATTTTGGAAAAAAGGGAAAATTTTCTTATGTCCAAACGGGCTCTTAATATACATCATTACAAAATAGAATTTTTACATTCCTATACACTATTTGAAACTTTATTACCCTCCTAACTCAAGTTTCAATTTAATTACATAGTCATATACAATTTACCAATTATGTATATTTTAGGAATTTAATGAGAATAAATTAATTCCTACAATCACTCTAACGTACATATCCCACTCCCCCCACGCTTCTCTCTCCATACCTCCCACGTTTCTTCAATATCTTCCTACATTAATGCCCGTTTTCACTCTTCTTCAAAAAAATCTCTCGATTTTTTACAGATTCTAGCTCTAAATCCTACCAAAATTGTAGTTGCTTAAATTTTTCCTTAACTTTCAATGAAGAAGAAAGTACTTTCGAAGATTAGCCCTAAAAAAGCTAAAGTAGGTGATATTCCTACTTTTGATTTGGGTGTTTTCTCACAGGATTCACCAAAAAATATTTCAAAATGGTCACATGCAAAATCAGATACAAAGCCCAAGCTTTCGCCTCGTGAAGCTAGGGCAGAAGCTCGAACAAAACATAAGCATGATAGGGATGCTGGCGAAGCCTCGACATCTGACAAATCTGTAAAGCGGAAGGCAAAAAAATTGCTTCCGATGATGATTTCGTTGAAGAAGAAGTTATCATGAAAGTTGCAAAAAACATCGAAGTTTCTCCAACTGTTAAACCTTCAAAAAAGAAGAAGGTTCAAAAATCAGCTAAAGCTATACCCAACAGTAATTTGAGAAGGTAAAATTTTAGTAGTTCCAATTTTATTTTTTATAAAGCTAAAAAACTTGTTCTCATTCTCATGAACATACACAATTTTTATTTTTTTGTATTTGTAGAAATTTTGTATACATTGTGTAGATTTGTTGTAGGTTAACAAATTTTCTACATTTCCGTGTAAATTATAGATTTCTTGTATATTATTCGAAATCATTTAGTTAGGGAATGTACTACATGATTTAGTTAGTTTTATTGGTTATTATTTGCTCTATTTTGTAGATGTTAGTTTCATTTTCTATAGAGAAATTATTTATAGTATGTCTAGTTCTTAATCTCTAATTTCTTGCTCTAAACATAATTTTATCAGCGCATTTGTAGCTTCAATGTAGTCAGTTGTTATATATGTTTACTAATGTTTTGAAACTTACTTGTATGCAATGTATTAATGTTTTTCTGATTGTAGCTAAAATGTAGTAAAAATATAGTTATTTTGTTTTCTGGTTTTGGAACAAGTTTTATTAACTTGCTGTTTCTTTTGGTGCAGAATCGAACATTTTTTGCACCACATGATGAGCAAGTTGAGCCCTAGGTATATAGGACTTTTCGAAATTCTTGAAAGGGTGGGCGAAGTAGCCTACGAGCTTGCACTATCACCTAGTTTATCAGCGGTTCATCCGGTGTTCCATGTGTCTATGTTCCAGAAATATCATGGTGATCTGTCCCACGTGTTAGATTCCAACTTAGTCCAATTGGACAAGGATTTGACTTACGAAGAGCCGCCGGTAGCTATTCTAGCCCGACAGGTCCGATAGTTGAGGTCTAAGAGTTATCCTTCAGTTCGGGTGCAATAGAGAGGTCAATCAATTGAGACAACTACCTCGGAGTCCGAGTCGGACATGCAGAGTAAATATCCACACCTTTTCACCAGCTCGAGTACTTTTCTAATTTCGTTCGAGGACAAACATTTGTTTTACAGTTGGAGAATGTGATGACCCAAAAGGTCATCTTAAAATTTAATAATTATTTCTATATTCTGAAACCTCAAATAGCATTATTCATTATTCCTCGACTTGCGTACATAGTCTGTATAATTTTTTGAAAAGTTTTTATGTGAAAAATTGATTAAAATGTGAAACAGAACTTTAAAAATCAATTGAGTTGGCTTTGGTCAATATTTTTAGCAAACGGACCTGGATCAGTATGTTGACAGTTCCGGTAGGTCCGTATCATGATTTGGGACTTGGGCGTATGTCCGGAATTTAATTTGGAGGTCCCTAACTCAAGTTATGGCCATTTAGCGAAAACTAGAATTTTAAAGGCTAAAGATTTTCAAAGTTTGACCACGGATTTGACTTTTTGATATCGGGGTCAGAATCCGATTTTGAAAATTGAAATAGCTTCGTTATGTCATTTATGACTTGTGTGCCAAATTTGAAGTCATTCCGGATTCATTTAACATGTTACGACCCAAGTTTTGAAAATGGAAAAGTTTGAAACTCTAAAGTCCGAATCGAGGTGTGAATTATAATTTTGATGTTATTTGATGTGATTTGAGACCCCGAGTAAGTCCGTATTATGTTAAGGGACTTGTTTGGATATTTGGACAAGGTCCCGAGGAAATCGGGTGAGTTTCGGATGTGTTTCGGGTCATTTTTGTAAAAACTTGCATGTCTGGTTCTGGTGTTTCGCACCTACGCAATTTTGGCCGTAGGTGCATGGTTACTTCTGCGGAGGCAGTGTCGCTTCTGTGACTTTGTGGCCAGGGGAGAAGCTTCGCTTCTGCGAAGCTTGGGACGCAGGTGCGGTGCCAATATCGCATATGTGATCTTTCTCGCTTCTGCGGCTCCCTTCGCGCTTTTGCGCAGTCGCTTATGTGACGTGAAGGACCGCAGGTACGGACCTCTGCTTGGATGCCCTATTCCGCAAATGCAAGCTTTGTCTCGCAAATGTGAGTCCGCAGATACAGAAATTTGTCCGCAGATGCGAAAATGCTGGACATAACACATAAAAATTAGGTGTTAACAATTTTTACTCATTTTTGAGTTTTGAGTCTCGGATTTAGGCGATTCTAAAGGGATTTTTTACGACTTTGAATTGGGTAAGTGTTATATAACCAAAAGTGATTATATTTCATAAATCCATGTCTATATTTATCATTTATTTCGGATTTAGATGGAAGAAATTGGAATTTTTGTAAAAGTTTCCAAAAATAAAAATTTAAGATTTGAAGGTCCATTTGACATCAGAATTTGATAATTTTTATATGGTTGGACTCGCCTCAGAATGGGTGTTCAGATTTCATAAAGTTTTCCGAGATTTGAGACGTGGGCCCCACTATTGATTTTTGAGATGAATTTCGGATTTTAATCCGAAAAATTAGTAAATTCATATGGAATTAATTCCTACGATTTGTATTGAGTATATTGAATTGTTTATGACTAGATTTGAAGATTTCAGATACGAATTCACGAGGCAAAGGTTTATTGGAATCTTGAATTTGGTTGCAAAGCGAGGTAAGTGTCGTGGTTAACCTTGACTTCAGTGAGTAGGATTTAATTGTTTATTTATTACGTGATTTAATGAGAAGGTACAACGTATATGTGAGGTGACGAGTACTTATGCGTGTTGGTTAAGTCAAAGCATGCTGGAGGATTGTATTTCATTTTGAATAATTGCCTATTTAATTATGATATTCCTGTTTAAGTTCATTATTGATTATTTGATCATTATTCATGAAATTTTTATTGATTTAATTATTGTTGAATATGGTGAGAAAGAGTGTAAAAGCACGAAGGGTGATGCCGTTCCATTTTTATTATTTATGCTATCATTGTCATGGTGAGAAAGAGTGTAAAAGCATGAAGGGTGTTGCCGTGTCAATTTTGAGTGTAAAAGAACGAAGGGTGATGCCGTGCCATTTTCAGAGAGTGTAAAAGCATGAAGGGTGATGCCATACTAAAAGAGAGTTAAAGCATGAAGGGTGATACTGTGCCAATTATTATTATTTATTTATCAGTTTATGAGAGGAATGAGAGTAAAAGCACGAAGGGTGGTGCCGTGCCTTTTTCATATTATCAGTTGCTCATTTTATTGTTGAGGAATTAATTGGCTGCTAAGTGATTATTCTCCTGCTGAAATTATTATGTCATTCCCCTTCGCAGATTCCCTCCCAAATTTATAAAGTGTTATTTATTGTATTATTGTGTCTTCGTATTTGTATATACTTGTAGAGGTGTTTTACGTACGTGTCCTGTCATAGCCTCGTTACTACTTCATCTAGGTTAGGCTCGACACTTACGGAGTACATGGGGTCGGTTGTACTTATACTACACTCTGCACTTCTTGTGCAGATTTTAGAGTTGGTCCCAGCGGCGTACCATAGATTTTCTCGGATTCAGCTATCCAGAGGAGACTTGAGGTATAAATGCACAGCGTCCGTAGTTCTAAAGTCCCCTTCTATCTTATCTTAGCTGTGTGTTATCTTCCAAATAACTTGAATTTTAATCAGACCTTTAATTGTATTATTCTAGTAGCTTGTGCACTTGTGACACCAGATTCGGGGATGTATTTGGATGGTTCGTTTGTTATGGTCTTCCGCACTTTATTTCAGTAATGAACTCATGTTTAATTTAATTTGTTTAAAAATTATTAAAATTATTCTAACGTTGGCTTGCCTAGCAAGTGAAATGTTAGGCGTCATCACGGTCTTGAAGGTGGAAATTTCTGGTCGTGACACATTGCCTCCTCAGTATGGACCTGTCACGACCCAAAATCTCATCCGTCGTGATGGCGCCTATCTCGATACTAGGCAAGCCGACTACATCAATAACCCACAATTTCTTTTA